AAGCATGCTTTATTTATACGGTTGTGAAACACGACGATTAACAGAGACAGATTAATATCGAAGAAAGATATCTCGTCGAACTTAATGCAATAAAGTATGAGAATAGAAGGTACAGTCATGGATGACATACAACGAAAGCAGCTCAAATGGGTACAGGTCCAATAAATGAAAGACAAGAGACTCCTAAAACAAGTACCTGTATGAACACCTACCGTAATCCAGAAGAGAGGATTACCTTAGAAAATACGGATGGAAGGAATAAGAAACTTAATGAGCTCGAAAGAACTTAAAGAACAATGGAACAACCGAATTGAATGAAAAATGAACGTCGGAAGACATTTTATAAGGATTATATCATATTATAGGTACATTTTTTGGACTAAAAATAAATTTGAAGAAAACCAAGTTCATGGTATTTACAAAAGCACAAAGCATCAAAGTTAAGCTAGTACTAGATAATACAGAAATTGAACAAATATCTTTGTACAAATACCTTGGAGCATGGATCACAGAAGATACTGATTAGACAAAAGAAATAAGATGCCGCATTGGAATTGCACGGTCAACTTTTAATAGAACGAGAAAACTTTTTTGTAATCGAGATATCAATATATCGCTCCGGATAAGAATGCTTTGATGTTATATTTTCTTTACCCTTTTATATGGGATTCAAGCTTGGTCACGGATCGCAAAACAACCGAACAAGTTCTCGAACAACTAGGAAAACAATGCGAAGTTTTAAATTCCATAAAAGTCAGGAAATTAGAATACTTGGGGCACATCATATATCACACATCAAGACGTAAAATCTAGTGGTTACGTAATCTCCGTGAATGGTTTGGATGCAATTCAACTGAACTATTCAGGCGCATATCCAACAAAATGATAATTGCCAGAATGATTTCCAATCTCCGATAGGAGTGGAACTTGAAGAAGAAGAATAAGTACATTATTATTATATCATATTATATATATATATATATATATATATATATATATATATATATATATATATATATATGTATATATTTATATAATATATGATATAAACGATATTGAAAGAGGTTACAACATAGACAATCAACAAAATCTACATCGACAACTACACAGTGAACACCCAACAATAATAGAAGTGTCAAATGCCGTCCTAAAACTCAAAGACAATAAAGCCACAGGAATCGATTAAATCTGTTGGAAAATATATAAAAAAAGGTGATGATCAGCTTTTTGCAGTAACCCATAAACTAATGAATTTGTTCCAGAAGAGTGGCTAAATGAAATAATATACGTTGCATAAAAAGGACGATTAACTGGATTGTAAGAACTATAGAGGCATTACTCTGTTAGCATCTTCACCTATTAGCACCCTGCTTGGCAGGGTCACATATCAGATCAATTTACGGTTGCAAAAGGCTTGAGACTGGGAGATCCTTTATCCACTACATTATTCAAATTAGTATTAGAAACTGTAATCAGAAAATGCAGCATGAAGATGGAAGAAACGATCATGAAACATGAGCACCAGTGCTTGGCATTTGCTGATGATCTAACGATCCTAGCAAAAACCGAGTAAGAATTAAGAAGAGTTGTGAAGAAAATCATCGAAGAAGCACAGAAATTTGGACTGGAACTAAATGAAGACAAAACTAAATATATGATCATAGAAGGAACAGAAGGGAAAAAAGAAGACTTTAGTATGAGGTCAGTAAGTGGTAAAAGCTATAGTTTTAAAAGGGTGGACAAATTTGAATACCTAGGTGTAGTTTTCGATGAAAATGGAAAAGATAAATGGGAGCTCGTAGCCAGAATAGCAAAAGGGAATAAAAATTAGGTAGTTTAAGAGCCCTACTGAACTCAAAATACGTTTCTAGACAAGGTAAACTCAGAATATATAAAACAGTAATTCGACCCACAGTAACATATGCCGGTGAGCCTGGATATTAAATAAGAAGGAAGAGGATACTCTGGAAAGATGGGAAAGGAAAATATTGAGATGCATATTCAGAGGACGAAAGGCAGAAGATGGTTGGGAAAGAAGAACCAACAATGAATTAATGGCTTTATACAAAGAACCTACTATTACCAAGTTCGTCAAGGCACAAAGAATCAGATGGTTGGGACATGTGGAAAGAATGGCAACAAACAGAATTCCTAAACTAGTAATAACCAGAAAATTAATCGACCCCAAAAGAAGAGGTAAACCCAGAACGAGGTGGATTAGTAAAGCGGAGGAAGACCTTAAACACGTGAAGGTGAGGGAATGGAAAAAAAAGCACAAAATAGAAGCGAATGGAAAAATATTGTACACCAGGTCCTTCAGAGTAGTTAGAATGTTATATATACATATTTACGTTAAAGTTTTGTTTAAAATAATTGTGATTAGTTAATATTAGAATTATGTTGTAAAAAAATGCTTTAGGCCTTAACGGCCTATTGTGCGTAAAAATAAATAAATAATAGAGTGCAAAAATCGAAAGAATCGCGTTTTTTGCATTAATTGTTAATCATTAAAAAACGGCTCCGAACTTTACGCAGGAAACAGGTAGGTTTTCTTCTTATAGATCTACAATAACTAAAAAAGTTGTCAGCTACCTGGATTATTGAGTGTCACGAGAAAATCCTTATTAGCCTGGACTAATATGGCTGGACAAGCAAGTAAAGAAACAACCTTCATATATTATGTAAACTTTACTAACAAAAACGTTGAAAATAAATATTCCTATAAATATAAATAATCAAATTCCATATTCAAATACAGCAAAATATTTGGGTATTGTCCAATAAATATAAATAATCAAATTCCGTATTCAAATACTGCAAAATATTTGAGTATTACTCTAAGCTTTTATGTAAAGAAGAAAAGAAAATAATAATTCTGATTGAAATACAAAAAAATGTACTGGCTGATTGACCAAAATTCTACGCTGTTTCTACATAATAAATTATTATATAAGCAAATACTGAAACAATAGTATTATTATAAAAACAGTATAAACATTTAGAAGGAAAATGTTACAAATTAACAGAAAATATTTCTATTCATATAAAAATTTAATCAAATTATAGGTACTTATTTTAGGTACTGCTTATTTATATAAAATTTCCTCAATCGGAATATAAACTTCACATAAACTTCTTCGTGAACTACCCATTTTAAAAACAATTAACACACTGGTTTGTCAAAAGTCGAAATAAACCCTAATAATGTTATTCAACATTATTTATGACCCACCTTCGAGAGGGTATTATACTTCTTATCTAACCAACCTAACCGTGTCGACGAGAATCCAGAAACTATCGACAAGGACAGCCTGTACTGGCCGAGAGAGAAAGTTACATTTAGCAAAATTTGAGATTTTAAAAAAAGTTTATACCAAATAGCTGCTTTGTGTTACACTTTATGTTAAAAATAAAAACAGATTCGGAAAGTGGGTCAAATTCTGTAGTGCCCTATTTAAAAAAAAATTTTTTACGTTTATTTTAACCAAAAATATTTGAAAAAAAAATATTGTTTAAACAATTTATTAATTTACAACTAAATAGTGCACTAGAACTTTTTAAGACCTTTCATATAAAAAAAGAATCATCTCAATATCTGCCATAGTTTTTGCGTTATTTGATATAAACTTTTACATTGGAACTTAGGTATGCCCAGAAACGCAAGGAACGGCCTTTGCACATCTGAAAGCAATACACAATTTCTAAATAAGTATGTTTTTTAATATTGTTCTGAAGCTATTTTCTTGTGGCATTGTAAATTAATTACTATTAAACTGGGAATAAGCCACAATTAAAGATAAAAATACGTTTATTGACGTTTCAATTTCCACTTCGGAAATCATTCTCAAAATACAAACAGTAAATTAAACAAATTTTGTTTTTTGTTACATAGTGAAAAATTCTTCTAATAATTTAATGTTATCTGACTCATTTATATTGACAATTCAGACATACATTATGCATTTTAAAGTAGGCGACTATAAAATGATATTGCCAATATTGTTGAGTTGCGCTCCTGGGACGACTTTACTTATAAGATAGTTCATTCGATTACATGAAATCAACTTTAGCTTGAGAATATCCGTCAGAAAAAAAAATCATAGCATGTAATTCGTCTTTAAAAAGACAAACACATGACATGATGACAGTAAAATTCTCCTGTTAGTGATTCCATAGTAAATTATGAGGGAAAAAATTATTCCTGGTCGAAGAGGACCAGTAGGAAGACGATCCAGAGGAAGACCAAAACTTAAGTATCAAGATAACATACAGGATGATCTAAAATCCATGATGAGCTGCAATGACATTGATGATGATGATTGGCATGTTTTTTTATGACTATTTCGTTAAAGTGTGTGGATAGTTCTATAATAACTTCTACCTGGCTAAGCGTCATAATCATATTAGAAATAAAAGTTGTTAATCAGTAGCAGTTATTTATTTAGTACTCTCTCATAATCTTTTTTTTTTTGAAAAATGTGACGATAATTCTGAAAGAAATATAGAGCTACCACATAAATTAAGTTTGTTAATCTATTTTTTTTTAGTATGTATAAATTGTTCAGAAAAAGTTGAAGGTATTTTCTTATGGTTCTCATAAATAGTTCCCTTTAAATCTAGGTTCTTCTGAGTTTTCCTTGTGCGTCCAAAAAAGACAAGGTGGCGCCCTTTATTCTATCCTTTCTTTTTATACCAAATTCTATCTACCTTAATTGGTACATTTAAATCGATTTATTTTTATTAAAATATACCCCATACTAGATTTGGGTATATACCCACGTCCCAAAGCTAGCCTTGTTGTTGTTTCCTTCAAAATACCTGATCGCTTGTTTGTAAGGTGAACATACTTGATCCTGTTTTTTTTTCTACACTCACCTAATTCTAAAGTTTGTTAAAGTTTAATTAAAAGTTTTAAATAACCTTTAGATAATAAATAAATAAATAAATAACCTTAAATTTATAACAATTAGCACCAATATTTATTAAAAAAGTATATATACCTGAATTTCTGGATTATTTGCCAGTGAATACAAAGCAAAACTAATAGCAGATGATGTCGTATCATGACCCTACAAAAAAAAGATAATTACTAATAAATGACATAATAATAAAATCTTAAAGCACGCATAATATACATTTGAATAATTTTCAACCAAACAATAAGATTTAGGTAATTCGCCAATTGGTATTTTAAACAATTTTGTTCATTAGTTATCAGGCTTAGTCTTTTATATTTTTTTATTACCTAGCTTTTACATTTCTAAAAAGGAGTACTTTTACCATCGGATAGTTTCTTGTATTAATATTCAGTGTTCTGTAAATATTTTCGTATATACATATTATATTAAAACCTGTCAATTGTGATCAATATATTTATCTTTCTTAAAACTTGTGTAACACACTAGCTTATTGTAATGACTTACTTGTTCATGGTGTAGGGTGTAGGGTTGTATTATAGAGGTAGTACCTTTTATTGGAACGACCACACAGAGCGTCATAGACGGGAGATGGTTCTTGATAACTGGTCCTCATAAGACACCTAACTCTCACTTATGGCTTCACGTGACACACCCCGGGCAACTGCATTGGTCTACAGACTAAACTAAGTGAGGGTAGCCAGATATGGCAAAATTTTCACCGAGTGATTGACGGTATAAGCAATCCTCCACTTACTGATCAACGGCTTCGGGTGTAGGAGTTGGTAAGTGCTAGGGCATATTTTTGTCCTAGGGTTAAAAAATCGACCCCGAAGGCGGATGAACCAAATTTTTTTCCAACGGCACAAAGATGTAGAAGGTAAGAGGAATTTACTACATTAAAGATCCCTTCGGATATCCGTGGAATAATTATCTTATATGTCAGACAAAATTGAAGCAAAGGCCCTTAGTCCCGGGTAGATGGTCCGAGGGTGCTAAAAATCCCCCGGGTTCGACTTCACGATGTTATTGATAAAGTAGGGACATGGAACCTCAATAGTTTGTGCATCCCAGGAAAGTTACATAACCTGCTCAAAGAAATGCGGCGCCCAGAAGAGAAAGCAATGGGTGTAAGTGAATTGAGGTGGTCTGGCTCAGGTATTTCTCACAAAGACAACTTTACAGTGTATTATTCTGGTAGCGACGCCACAGATAATTACTACAGGCATGGAGTTGCAATAGTGCTTGATAATAGAATTGCGATGGTAGTTATAGATTACATACCCGTTTCAAACAGAGTAATCATAGTGAAGTTAACCGGTCAACCTATTAATATAAATCTAATCCAAGTCTACACACTTACAAATGATAAACCGGAAACTGAAGTTTTAGATTTCGATAAAGACATAAAGAAAGCATTAAAGGTCACAAAGAAAAACGATATTAACATTATAATGGGCGAATTTAATGCCAAAGTCGGTAGGGGTAGATGTGGTAATGCGGTCGGTCATTTCGGTCTGGGTAACAAAAATGAGCGCGGAGAGTTACTAATTGAAATTTGTAATGATCACGATTTCGTCATATCCAATACGTGGTATCAAATTCCACCAAAAAAATTCTATACATAGCGAGCACCAGGAGATCGTCCAGGTCATATGAACGAAATCAAATTGATTACATCTTAATAAACCAAAGATTCCGCAACTGTAAAAAAGAGTGTCCGCTTACCCTGGTGTGAACATCTCGTCTGATCACAACCCCCTAATCGCAAATGTAAGACTTCGATTGGCAAAGGTTAAAAAACCATCTAATTAAATATACATAAACACTAGAGAAATAATGAGAGATGAAGGGCTTAGATCTACATACAGTAAGTACATCAACGAGAACTTGAGAAACATACAAGGAAATTGCATAGTGGAAACCTGTGAGAAAATAAAAATAGCTATAGTCTCGGCTTACGAAGTAGTCGCAAGTAAAATAAAAAACAAATCACAAAAAAGAGTGGATGACGGAGAAGATACTTGATCTAATGAAGCAACGCAGACAGTACAAAATACATCAGAATCAACAGGAATACAAGGAAATCCAACGTACGATAAGAGCAACAATTAGAAACGCAAAGGAAAGCTGGATGAAAGAGTGGTGTGAAGAATTGGAATCACTGCAAGAAAAAGGAGACAGCTTTGGACTATATAAAAATGTCAAAGAAATTTCGAGTATATACAAGAAACACCATGAGACTCGCCTGAAGAATGATCAAGGAAACTACATTCATAGACAGGAAGAACTAGCTAAAATCTGGGTAAACTATGCTTCGTCTGTCTTTGCGGATAATAGACCGAATCTGCCAACTACTAACTTACCCACGGAAAATTTATCCAGCCCTTCCATTATTGGAACAAACAAGACAAGCTTTTATCAAATTTAAACCGCTACTATGTGACGAGCTACTCCAATGCATTTTGCAGGGTAAAATTGAAGGAAAAAGAGCCCCAGGACGAAGAAGAATATCCTGGCTTGCTAACCTGACAGCATGGTACAGAAAGATCTCAACACAGCTATTTCGTATAGCAACCAACAAAATCATCATAGTCAGAATGATCGCCAACGTTCGGAACGGACAGGCACCCTAAAAAGAAGAAGAATTATGTGACCACAATCAATCTCCGCTACAGGATGGTTAAATGCTATGTATGATCCATATTGTTATACGGCATGGAAACATGGACGTTAAAAGTACCTTTCATTTATAAGTTGGAGGCCTTCGAAATGTGGACGTTGCGAAGAATGTTCCGCATACCCTGGACAGATAGGGTGAGAAACGAGGAAGTCTTAAGAAAGGCAAATACTGGGAGAGAACTACTCAATTTGATCAAGGTACGAAAAATTGGATACCTCGGCTATATTCTGTGAGGAAAAACATACGCAATCCCTTAACTAATCATCCAGGGAATAATTGAAGGCAAGAGAGGAGTAGGTCGCAAAAAATGTCGTGGCTATGGAACATAAAAAACTGCCGCAAAAGACAGACGCCTAGCCTTAAGATAATTCGCCAACGCACTGTAAGTGCACGGCACTATAAGAAGAAGACTTGTTCATATTACAATATTTTGACTTTGTTTTGTAAATAAAACGGTGTCAGATCTTTTGAAGATTGTATCATTTGTCTGCTACTCGGACATAATCATCTGCATAACAAAATTTCTACCTGTAGGGTAACGAGTAGTACTCTTTTGCAGTCCCCAATAAAGGGCAGATTACTTCAGGCCTTATCAACCTTGCCCCTACGTCAGCTACTGTTTCTTTCCTAAGCTCCTTCCTAAGAGAAAACAGGTGGTAATCGTGTTCTCTATCTAAACCCCATAGAAAATGATCCTTGGCCGGCTTATTATTTAATTTTCATAAGCGGTAGAATGGTTGCGATAATGCGATGCAATGGGATAGGAAAATCCAATGCATTAATATGCTCAAGAAAGTTATGCGTGATGTCTAAGAGAATTACTCGGATGTTGTTAAGCAATCCGAATGACGACCAGCACTACCTTCTTCTTCTTTTTTAAGTGCCCTGTCTGTTGCGAACGTTGACTAATAACATGGCAATTTTGATCTTGTTTGCGGCGCTTCTGAATAGTTCGACCGATGTGAGCCCGAACCACTTCCGCAGATTTTGGAGCCACGAGTGTCTTCTCCTGCCTGGCCCTCGCTTACTGTATATTTTTCCCTGGACAATCAATTGTAGCAGACGGTACTTATCGTGTCTTAATATGTGGCCTAGATATTCAAGCTTTCTTTGTTTAATTGTATTCACGATTTCTTTCTCCTTTCCGATTCTTTGGAGTACCTCTATGTTGGTGACATGTTCGGTCCAGGATATACGAAGAATGCGTCGGTACACCCACATTTCGAATGCTTCTAGTTTTTTCGTTAGCGTCTCCGTCAGCGTCCAGGCCTCCACGGCATACAGCAAGATCGGAAAAATGTAGCATTTAACTATACGTAGTTTTAGGGGAAGAGACAAATCCTTGCTTATGAGGAGATTTTTCATATTGCTAAATGCTGCTCTAGCTCGTTCTATTCTCGCCTTAATTTCCATGGTCTGTTCCCATTTTGCATTTACGTTGGTGCCAAGGAACACATAAGATTCTACATGGTCAATTAGTATGTTACACTTCCGTAATTGTCGAGCAGGTTGTTGCTTTTTGCTTATCAGCATCCACTTTGTCTTCTTGAAGTTGAGGCTCAGGCCGTATTCCTAACTAACTGAATAAAGTCTTTCTATTACTTGTTGTAATTTGTCTATGGTACTGGCAAGGATCACCGTGTCGTCGGCATATCTTATATTGTTCGTTAACTCGCCGTTTATTTTTATGTCCTCATTTGCATTTTCCATACATTTGTTAAATATTTTCTCGGAATACATATTGAATAGAAGTGGGGATAATATACACCCCTGACGAACACCTCTTTTGATCTGCACGCTTTTAGTGAGTTCGTTGCCAATTTTTGCTCTTGCTGTTTGACCCCAGTATAGGTTTGCCACAATTCGAATGTCCTTATCGTCAATACCTGTCTTTCGCAGAATACATATCAATTGTTCATGATTGACATTGTCAAATGCTTTTCTAAAATCATCAGCAGCACTACCTTAAGTGGGGAAATTCAGCTACTAGTCCACAGAAATTAAAACTCCGAAAATTAATAAATGTTTGTACATGGAACGTACAAGGGCTAAAGACAATCATAGGTAAGTTGTCAATTATTGAAAGAGAGCTGGCCAGGTATAACATTGAAATTTTTTCTGGACTAGCTAAAAATCATTGGTTAGAAGAGGGCCATTTTAGAACACATAATGGCAATTTTGTTTACCTCTCTGGCAGTTAAACCCAAAACTATACAGTTGACGCCAATATGGTCTCACCAAGATTTGTCTTGTCTCAAAAGTTTATCGTCGAATTTAAAGCTGTGAGCGATAGGACAGTTTTCCTTAAACTGGAAAGCAAAACTAAATAAACTCAATATTATATAAGTTTATGTGCAAACTACTACAGCAGATATCATAACAGTTGAGGAATTCTACAAAAAATTGGAAACAACAATTACCAACATTCAAAATTAAGAGCTAACCTTAGTATGTGATGACTTCAACACAAAAGTCAGCAACACTACACAGAATGATGAATTCTACGAAAAATTAAAAACAACAATTAACAAAATTCAAAATTAAGAGCTAACCTTAGTATGTGATGACTTCAACACAAAAGTCAGCAACACTACACAGAATGATTGATCAGATCATATTCTCCTCGTAGCTTAAGTAACACAAACTTAAAGCTCACAACAAACGGAAAGAGACAACGGGGATATAACTCAGAACGACGGATGATCTTCTCCAATAAGTGCAAAAATGTATGTCCCCTATTGGTAACGGTACTTCACCGAAATATGAAAGATTATTAAACATTGTGTAACAATACTAATTAATCGCCCAAAGGTAAATAATACAGTGAAACAAAACACCGAAAGATAAAATCCTTAAAATATTTGAGAATAGAAGAAATCTTTGTCAAAGTGTTGTACATATTGAAAAGAAAAAAGCCAGTTTAAGAGACCTCAACAAAGAAATAAAACGAAGATGCAAGACTAGTTGAAAATAAAAAAGTTAATAACAAAAATAACTAAAAATTGTTGAAAAATTTCTCTTTTGAGCCTTTTTTGATTTTAAAATTTGAAAAATTTTGATTCTTAAGTTTTTACTTTCTTTCTCTTTGTGCTCAATTTACTATTTGTTTATAACATAATTAAATCAAATTAAAAAAAAATAAAATATCAATAGAAAACATTTGACTAAACACCTGTTGTGGACTAATCATCAGCTGAAACTACACATACTGCTGGAAGAAGAAGAATGTTATGTGCTGCTGTACGCAGACTGCTTCTGCAATGTTTAATTTTCCTCTACCTGATTCTATGTTTAATTTAATAATATGTTTTCAAATCATCCGCTTCACTGTCACTAGTATCAGTGTTAAATCAAACAGTTTTGTTTTTTAAATCACTTTATTTGGATCACAGTTGGGGTCATTGTCAGTGTCAACAGCTTATTGCGCACTCTTCGTATCTTCATTTTTATTTCTTTCGGTATCACTTTTTTTTCTCTATTTCATTCATGACGAACGATCGGGAAGAACGATCCATGACTTGTATTCACTTTTATAAATTTTATAACGCAAGTACTGACGCGGAGTCAATCTGACTCCCAAAGTTACCTATTTCAATAAATAAAAATGCAACGACCTCCCTTTTTTGACACTACTCAGAGAAATGAAATTTATGAAGGTACTCTAAGCAACAACGGATGACAATTTTTGTGGAGGGAAGGTACTATGAAATTTGTAGCGCGGAATCTTTTTACTCCCCGTCAGTATTTAAGGGGTTAAATTTAAGTGTAAATTATAGTTCCTACATTCGGCAATAAAATGGATAGAATAATATAACATACCTTTTTTTAAGCAAAAAGGTTTTTTCAAAAATTAAAATAATTTTAAAAAAATAAGCCTATAAATTAAAATAACAACATAAATTGGGCCAAAAAAATTCTGAGATATAATTTAAAACAAAGGTTTAAGTGGCAAACAAGTCATGCATGAAAAATAGCAAAATGGCTAACTTAAATTTAACAGAAAGAATGAATACATGTTGAAACAAACCTCAAACATAAAAGTGTCTACTTCTTCTCTTATATCCAATCGAGTCAGAGGCTTTTCATCTATTGTGCTTTCTAATAATAAATCCAAAAATGCTAACTTTTTTTTCTGGTTAAACTCATCGACGTCATTTTTATGACTAAGTTCATATACACCATTTTTAGTACGTTCTCTAATTCTTTGTTCTATAATACTATCTGTGTGAGCATGAATTATCTTTATTGCTCTTTTTTCAACAAAATAGTTTAACGTTAGTGGATATAAAAATGGATGAATGATACTATATTGCCTTATTCCGAAAATTTTGCATACTTCTTTAACGCTTCTTACATACTCAGAGGTTTTTGTAACTTGAGAATTCAGCTTGATGCCCATTGCAGCCTCTGAAATAAAAAAAATATATTTTGTTAATACTGATATAGATTTTTTATTTAATTATCATTTCAAAAATTAGTTCCTGTTTAAAATTACATTGCAAATATTTTTGGAAATATTGAAAACCGTAATAACTTTGAATTTACTATGTATCGCAAAATAATATTTTGATCTTAATAAATGTTTCAAATACTTAATTTTTTTTTTTTAATTACAATTATTGTTCAAAATTGCACGTTGAAGAAAAAAAACACACAATAAGCTAATGGGCTGAAATAGGACCGACGTCGAAATAATGGTTTTCAGAAAGAACAAAGGCCAAAATTCACTTCTAATTTTCTAATTAAAGTGGCAATTAGAACGTCAAAAGAAACGTATTTTCAAATAATATTTTTGTTTTTTCTCAATAAAAATTTTACATAATAATATTAATTCAACAAATTCCGAAAGTGGTACTTTAAGAGACGATTGATACTCTCGTGAATTTAACATTTACAAAATCTACTTATAAACATTAGTAACACAATTATAACGATTATTTACATTGATATTGTTGGCAATATTAACAGAAGTGTAAGTATTGAAATTAATGTTAGATGTGTCAATACTTTTAGTATTTTTTGAGATATTAACTTGCGGCCATTTCCAATCTGTGAAGCTATGTGAATTTTATTTCTTAAAGAATTTTCTTCTGCTACATTAGTTGACTTCCATCATCTGTGTCTTTTCAAGTTGGTTATAGTACCGCCACTAGTGTTGCCCAAAATCGGTCTTGGTCTTGCAGTCTTGGTCTTGTTCTTGACCAAGACCAAGACCAAGACCAAGCCTGACCTTGCAAGATTTAAGCAAGAACAAGACTAAGCCTGTGAGACTCTTGCGTTTTTCAGTTAGGACTGAGTGTCGTTTTAGCTAGTATAGTAGTTCCGGTATATTTTTAAAGAATCTATAAGACGCACAAAAATATGTAATAAAAATTTAAAAATCTGGACTTATGTGCATTAAGAACAATACCAAAAACATACATACCGAATAAAAATATTTGTTAAAAAAACACATTTGACATTTGTGATCAGAGGTCATATAATCATAATGTAAAAATGAAATATTTTGTACATTGTTTTCTAGCACACGACTTCTTCGCTCTGAAATTAATTGTCCAGATTTTGAGAATAGCTGCCCTCTAATCATAAAATAATCTTCTTGCATTTCGACGCCCACAGTAATATTGTATCGATTTTTTTAAATATGTCATCTTAGCTAATAAAAAATATAACACTTATTATTACGGATATCCACTTAATAATTTAATTTTTTTTTCCATTGCAATTTAGTTGGGAGGAAATTAAATAAACAAATCTTATCGGCCTAAGGGAGAGCGCCCACCAAAGTGGCGTGGCATGTGGTAATTAGCAAGTAGCACGCATCTAGCATGTTACATCAAATGTAACCAATGCAAACGAATGATTAGATCGAATGACGTCACTGCGATTTTGGTGTGCGCTGAATCATAGTGTGCGCAAGATTAAGCGGACGGTGTTTTGCAACAGTCGTCTAACCCACATTTGTTTACAAATAAGGTTAGACGCGTCAAACTATCCATCATAATGCATACTATATCAAGCAAAAATGATATAAGCCATATCCATAATCATGGAGGCGTTTGGAACTAAGTTCTAAACAACATTCGTCAAATAATATGAAAACATAAATTTTTAAAAATAGTCTAACCCAGAGGTGCTCAAACTTGAACTGCTGGCGATCTACCTCAATATTTTTAGACTACTTACGATCGACTCTGAGAGACTGCAAGTGTGTGTGATGCAGGGTTGTCGTACATACACGATACACCCTACCTACCTAGGTAGGGCGTACCGTAGCATATATAGATATTAGCTTTCTGCACAATATAGGTACATTATTTTAGTCAAGGCTTGGGTTAGGTTTAGTTAGGTTCTTCTCTACAATATCAATGAAAAAACTCATAGTTATTCAAAATTGCGAGTTTATTTGTTGTTACAAAACAAAAGAGATACATATGGTGTTAAACTTAACTAAGGAGTGGCTTTGGATGTTGAAGCGTGGCACTGCATGTCCTCAGCATACTTTTAATAAGATAGTACGTAACCAATGAGTGCTAATCGCAAGCATGATGTTATATGATCGTCAGTTAGTCAATTGCGATATTTTGACTTAATTATCTTCATTTCAGAAAATGCAGACTCGCACAAGTAAGTTGACCCAAAAAATGCCGTCAGTTGAAGGGCGATTTGCCTTACATTCGGATATTTATCTTCAGATATAAAACGCCAGAAATTTGTATCAGATACTGTAGCTTTGAGATGTATATCTGATATAATCTGCACCAACTCATTTTCAACAGAACATGAGTTCATATTAAACTGACTTGCTATTTCAGTAGCTAATTCCTCAATGTTTTTACATGAAAAAGGATAACTCATAAATAATGCTATATTTTCCAATTTACTGCAATTATAAAAGCGCATTTCGAATTGTTCCAAAATATTTGATAATTCAGCCTCATACGTATCATAATTCAACTGAGTAATCCTTGCTTTTAAAGACGGAAAATGTTTCAGATCCTTTCTTTTCAGTTGACTATCATAAGTAGCAATTTACTTTTGAATGCGTTTACTGCGCTAATCATCTCAATAATAGTTTTTCCTTTACCTTGAAGCTCCAAGTTAACGGTGTTTAAGTGCATTGTGATGTCAGTCAAAAATGCCAAATCATTTAGCCATTTTTCGTTTTTCAAAATCTGAGTGTCATCGCCTCTTTCGTCTAGAAAAGCTGTTATTTCGGGCAATAATTCTTAAAACCTTTCTAGGAATTTTCCACGACTCAACCACCTGACGTGCATGTGAAGAACTAAATCAGTGTGTTCAGCTGACTCCCTATCTTCCAACTGCAACTGAAAGAGCCGCCGTTGCAAGCTACGTGCACGGATGGAATTCACAATTTTTGTTGCAATGCCCATAATTTCCTCCGTGTTTAAAGCTTTTGAACACAAAACTTGTTGATGTATAATGCAATGGAATGAAAAAAATTAAGGGAATTCTTCATTAGCTAGACACAATGCCACAAAACCGTTTTTGTTTCCAGTCATTGCTGGTGCTCCATCGGTTGTAATGCACATTAATTTATATATTGGTAGCTCGTAGTTTTTTACAAAATTTAAGAAAATGTCATATATATCTTCGCCACGGGTCTTCCCCTTCAGAGGAATGATTGTCAAAAATCCTTCCTTAGCCAACATGTCATTGAATACCATCCGAATAAAAATACACAGCTGGGCAGTGTCTATCATATCGATGGATTCGTCGAACTGTAAAGAAAAGTATGTACATTCCATGATATCATGTTTTAGTTTATCTGCGATGTCATGACTCATGACTTCAATACGCCTTGTGACAGTCGGACGAGATAACTGAAGTTCTCTAATAGCAGACATGATTTCTGTTTTATTTTTAAAATCTCCAAATAAAGTCTCACCCACTTCAATAAATGCTTCCTTCACCACTGATCCATCTTCAAATGGTTTCTTGTATTTCGAAAAAATATGAGATATTTTAAATGACGCAATCGTAGCAGCTTTTGATTGTTTGGCTGGTCTTGTGAACATGGATTGTTCTTTTTTCAAACAAGATATCAAATCACTTACTTTTCGTCTTCTTAATTCACTCTGTCGCGGAAAATCCTTTTCATAGTTTTTATGAACCGTCTTATGATGCCTCTCTAAGTTACCACGCTTAGGTATTGCAACTGACGCACGACAAATAACACAAATGCACTTATCCTTCACCATAGAAAAAAAATTCTTCCTCCCAATCCTTATTAAAATGATACGTTTTAGATTTCTTCACTGCACTCATTTTCCACTATTTAATAATAAACTTTGTATCGACGTAGGATCGCTATCAAGATACAATTCAGAATAACTCCAATTCCTGTAGGCGCAACATTTATATCAGCGTGAACGAAAGTCTCGAATGTTCCCGTCAAACGCGCCGCCCGAAACTAGACTGTTCTGTCTCTCGTCTAGAAACAACACGGCCTTTCTTTGACAAGTGCCGCGCGTTTCTTTGATAAAGCCACCTTTTGCCGCAAGCAGTGTTATTTTATTACGTAATACATTTTTGTAGTTAATAGAATATCATCCCAAATTTGATTAATAATTATAATAAATAATGAATTAATAAAATAATTAGTTAATATATGTAAATATAAAATATGCTGTGTGGACAGTATTTTGTTGTCCCCACTTCTTTAAATTGCAATGATGCTTAGTCAAGCATTCTATGTATTTGTATAGTTCAGTATTAATAAAAACGTTTAACTCTGCTGACAGTAGTTTAGTTACCTACCTACTTATTAAAATTTTTTTTCTTCTCGAGATCTACCCAAAAAGCACTCGCGATCGACCAGTCGATCGCGATCGACCGTTTGAGCACCCCTGGCCTAACCCATGTTTTCATTATAAATATATGGGTTAGACGATTGTTGCAAATCTTTGTAAGGGTCTTTTCATTGTGTGCACCAGATGCAAAATATTAAATAACACAAATCTTTATTTTAACTTATTAAAATACGAGAAAATCATTATTAGACTAATATTAGAATTTTATTTAAATAAATAATATATACTATAGATCTTTAATGGTAAAATACAAAGGTATATTATTTAAAACTGTGAATTTTCTGTAATGTCAGCTCGATAATTGATTAAAGAAATTTTTAAATTCCTTGTACCGAAAAGATAACATAATATGCTTTGCGATTACTTGAATGTTGGTGCCATAAATGCCGACAAAAGACTGCATTATCAAATATCGAAACCAATTATTGTTCATTATATAAAATATTGGAACTGTTGCTTGATAGTCAAAATTCTGATGAGTGTGCGATGAGATAATTTGTACTCAAAACTAACGAGACAAATTAATAACAGATAATATCGCCTACCGTGTAAACAAAATACCGAAATATTTAGAATAACGAAGTAACAATATATAAGTCTCGGTTTGTTATTTGATACTTAGGGTATTGGATAGTAACGGACATAAAGTAACTATTATAGTAGTAGTTACTTTTTTGAGATCACTAAACTGTGGAACCTCGATTATCCGTCAGAGCACCGGACCAAGGGTATGAGAGCTCTTGTTAACGACAGCGTTCAACGGGACGTTTTTGACACACTGTCCCGTTGGACGTTCTTATGAATGTTCTTCTGAAACACGTTTCTTGCTGAACGTTCTTATGAGGTTCTTTGTAGGTAGTATGAGGTAGTGACAAGTTTACAATTTGACATGAGGGACAAAAATTCAAATAGTTCTAGTCGGAGTAGTGAGCGTTGTAATTATAGATCTGAAAGAACTAAAAGCAAATTTGATGAGTTTTTCGAAATAATTTATGCATCTCAAATTGCTTTGTGTAAATTATGCCTATATAGAAAGGTTGAAATGAAAATGAAAACAGAAACACGTCACCTAATATCTTTTCACAAAAAGGAATTACAAATATTTCTTCCTGAAAAACCAAAATTCGGTGGAGATACCACAAGCTTTTTAATAACCACTGGAAGAGTGGAAATGTACAATAAATACTTATTAGCTTATTACTAATTATACCAATACTCTAATAGAAGGTATGACTAACAATACTGATATTAAACAATATTTGAGAGACTCTTGCATTAGCTTACTTCAACAACAACAATGTAAGTACAAACGCAATTTTCATAGAAATCACATATAATACATAGAGAAAGTAGAATCTTTTTTTTTTCAGATAACAGTTTTGTAGTTTTGAAAAAAAATCTACTTAACACCTTTATTAATAAAACAAAAGCAATGGCTAAATTGTTTAATGACACTATTACTAAATATAACAACAGAAAGGTAACTGTATCTAATCCTATAACACCTAGGTTATATGGACTTCCTAAAATCCATAAACACAATTGTCCCATAAGGACTGTAGTAAGTTTTTGCAACACTCGTTTCTATTTTATCAAAGTTTATTTACAACACAATTCAGTCTATCACTAATTTTAAAACTAAGTTCTCCATTAAAAATTCTTTAGATCTAATAGAACGTTTAAATAACATTAGGATAGCAGAGGGTTTTTATTTAGTTTCTTTTGATGTTTCCAATTTGTTTACTTCTGTACCAAGAGATGAAACATTGCCTTTAGTACACAACCTTCTAGACAATTGCAACATATCTGCAAAGGACAAAGATGCTATATTAACTATGCTTAAATTCTGTCTGGATCAGGACTTCTTCCAATTCAATCAAAAGATATATAAACAACCAACAAGTTTAGCAATGGGATCTCCATTATCACATTTTCTAGCTGATATTTTCTTAGACAGCTTAGAACAGATGTTTGTTAACAACAACAGCAAAATAATTTTTTGGTCAAGATATGTTAATGATTGTATAGCTCTCATACAGGGAACCCAAGATTATGCTTTACAGATTCTGGATGATCTTAATAAATTTCATCCTAACATCTCTTTTACTCTGGAACCAGAATCTGACAATAAGTTGAACTTCTTGGATATGACTATATCCTGTAATAAAGATTCTTTAGAGTACAATATTCACAGAAAACCTACCTAAACAGATCACATTATTCATGAAACATCTAATCATCCAACCCAACATAAAATGGCTGCTTTCAACAGTTACATTCATAGGTTACTTAAATTTCCACTTTCTAATGATAATTTTAATTTAGAATTCAATATTGTTTTTATCGAAGTTAATTAATTTCTTTAGTTAAAAAACGTTTCTTGGCTTATTTCAGATGCCCCTGAAGATGATCTAGTGATCGAAAGTACTTGGGCAAGATTAAATTAATATTGTGCTTGATATTTGCCTTGTATATTATCAAAGTTTATTACCAATTACATATATTATGTACCTACTACTTTATTTTGGCAAATTAATATATTTATTAAGTAGATATCTCCTTAATTTAACATAATTTCTTTTGATTATCATTGCTTTTTTACCTATTCTTTAGTTTTCCAAATTAGTTTTTTATATAAAAGTTGAACTAAGATTGTTAACAACATTTATGTTGCTTTAATAAGTGGAATATAGTTTGTTATCTTATTACCTAAATAATATATGCCCTTGATACCTGTATGTGGATTTTTTGCCACTTACCAATCTCTTTTAAGATTTTCATTTCATATACGGGGAATCCCTTTCTAGACAGATATTTTCTTTAAAATACAGTTAAGTATTTGTTTTTTTTTGTGTTTTAACCATGTTTTAGCACATGTAAGTTTATTAAATGGAAACAATTATTCAGAAACAGATTGACTTCCGTGGGGCATGGTACATAGCTGAGTTAGTTAGAGCATAGGTACGGATCGCTTAGATCGTGGCTTCAAACCCTACGCGGTGTCAGTTGTTTAGACATTTATTAATTTGGTTGGCCTTTATTATGGGTATGTTAATTGAAGCTTAAAATGTACTTGCTCTGTTACGTTGTTCTAAGATTTAAAGTAACGTTTAATAAATAGCAATAGGCTAATGGGTAACTGCAAGCCTTGCAAGACTCTTGCTGCAAGGCCAAGACCAAGACTAAGACCGGGAGTGCAATACCAAGACCAAGACCAAGACCAAGACTGTCCAAGTCTCGTCTTGTTCTTGCATTTGGGCAACACTAACCACCACTATCAGCCAGTAAAGGGACTGAGCTCCTTCGTTGACAGTACCCAATGTATTCATTGGGATGCGGTGATTTAAGAAATTCAGCAATAGTGTAGGCAATTTTTCCAAAAGTGTGAATATCAGTAGGTTGTATAGTACACCTTCCACGTTTTTAGTATACAAATAATCTATGATGCGGTGTGTTTGCTTGACGTAATGACAATATCCCGTACTGGGCATCTTATTACAAAGATTACTACTTGAACTTTTTAATAGCCCTTAAGTCGTCGATACTCTCCATCACCTCTAGCAGTAAATAAATTTTCTGTTTTACACTTTCAAAGGTAGATACAAGGAATGTACAAAAAAGAGAAACCTATTTTAATAACCTATATGAGTTTTTCTATTAGATTTGTATTTTGTAGGTAATGGTAGATTTTAAGTTCTCGGTTCTCGTTAAAAATCTATTTTTGTTTGTAGGAATTATTTTTGTTTAACATTTTTAAATTGAAATAAAATATTTTTACTCTATTTTTTTTATTTTTTTATGTATTATTTAAGATAACGAATTGTAGAATATTGAGGGAGTTGTCTTCTAGAATTTTGTAAAGATAGCTTATAAAACCAAATAAAAATCTTAACTGATAAAAAAAGCGTATTTGCTTTTAAAATTTTCGAATGGAAAATATTACAGGTTTTTTATCAGATAGCCTTAAAAGTTTAATATTAATTCTAATTGCTCATATTATTTAACATACGTACCACAAATAATATCTAAAGTGCATAAAGCAACAAACGGGGTAATATCTACGCTTGGTTTGTCTACTTCCTTTTTTAAAAGATCAATAAAAACATTTCCATTGGTTTCGAAAACATGTACAAAATTTTCAAGTATTGAAAAATGGAAAGCTGGAGTTAAAATCTTTCTGCGTTGTTTCCATTTTGTACCTGAAATATCAAAAATAATTTAAAAATTCACAAAATTGTTTATTATATATTGCTAGTCATAAAAAAATCGTAATAAAAATGGGTTGTGGATTTAACATTGTTAATATAAGCTTTGTTTGTAAAGAGATTAACCTAAGAGAGAGCGCCCATTAAACTTGCATGGCAAGTGACAAGTAGCAAGTAGCGCGCGTCTATCATGTTACTTAAAATGTAACCAATGAAAACGAATGATTCAGCGCACACCAAAATGACAGTGATGTCATTAATTCTAATCATTCGTCTGCATTGGTTGTATTTTAAGTAGCATGCTAGACGCGTGCTACTTGCTACTTGTCACTTGTCACGCCAGTTTGGTGGGCGCCCTCGCTACGGGAAAGAAACATTAAGATTGGTCAATTATTCCCAAAGTTATGATCCAAAATGACTTAACAAGTAATCGATTCGGAATTTATTACATTTAATTTTTATTAAGATTTATTTAAAAAATTAATATCTAATTAAAAGAAATATTTACTAGTAAATAAATTTAGACTAACTGATAAAAAATAATACAGTTAACATAGATATTGTAATCTTTACGAACGATAAAAAGGAAAAAAAGCGATTATTCATCTATATGTAAAAATATGAAACATAAATTACAGGCTATTAAAAGTACAATATTTAAATATTTATAATTGAAATATGATGAAGACAATTGAAATTTTGTCGCTATTTTGAACTCATTTCATTTTTGATACCAAAGAAATTGCTGTCCCCACCACTCCCTCTCGTAAAATTTCCTATAGTTTTAAAGATTTAAATCTACGAAATGTCGGCACGTAATGTCGTTGGAAACTTTATAGGAACAGGAGCGAGTAAGGTACTAGCAAATTGACAATAATGTTAAACTCACTAGTAGTCTACTGAACAGTATCGTATATATCTTATTTTAAATTAAAGAAAAGTTTTTATTTTTATTTAATTTTATTTACCAAAAAGTTTCATTCTCTATCAAGTTTAAATAAAACATATCGGTCTTGTTAACTTCTCTGATATATCTAGGGAGTGATAACACTAATCGACTAGAGACTAGACTGAATAGAACTTATTGTAAAATAATAATACCTATAAAAATGGTTAATAAAAGTAATTATTACATACAATTAAACAATTTTTTATGTACAAATATATAAGTATACAATCTTATCATTTTATCCCTCATAACTAAGTTATTGTAATCAAGAAAACATTGAGAATTCATTTTTTTAAATTATATACAGAGTGTTTTATTAAAGAATAACAACTATGGTTTGACACCGTGTGAGAAAAGACTTAGTATCTCAATAATTTTAAAATGGGTAAGAGGTCTTAAATTTTTACGAACATCTTTTTTTTATAATCTAGCAGGTATTTTATAATAACCTAACCTGTACTTTGACTATTTTAAACTAAATAATTTGTACGTTTTTATTCTATCATGAAAGGTGTTGGTGCCTTATTTTTAAAGATATATTAGCAAAACGAGAATATCTACAATTACAATAAAAATAAAGGTTTAAGCTAACACCTAGTTCGAAATAAGTACTTACTTATCTACTCAAAATCACTGTTATCATTCGTATCTTCTAAATTTATAGTTAATTTGTTTAATGCTGGTAAATATTTCACAGTCATTTTCCACTGCGATTACATGTTTGATTACAGTTTTCCAGTTGGTTGCTGTGATCTTTGCGATTTTTCTTCTAATTAACTAGTGAACATTAGACGAAAATTTAGGAGCAACGTTTCTTCTTCTTATATTTCGTTCAAGTTCAGTCTATATTAACTATTATCACAACACTATCAGTTATTTGGTATTCTATTTGTCCTTTCTCTTATAAAGTTTTCTCTTATTTTACATATTTTTACGTACTTTCGTTCTTTGTGAGCTTTATAAAAACTAACTCCTGCTTTTTCTTCAAAAAATCATTGAACGTTTACATCTATGGTTCCTGAGTTGAACTTTTTTTTATACTTCATTTCCGTCATATTGATAGCTAAAAATCCTTTCTAAGTTATTCTGTGTAAGTTTGTCTACGGTTGTAAGTATATCGATTTACTTATAGATGAACTGATGATATGTATGGATCTATATATGAAACCTTTTTAATAAAGGATTGAGTAACAAGATCCCGTTGTTTTGTGACCGGTATACCTCCCATAAGCAGATATCCCTAAAAACTACATTTTGTATTTCAATTGACAATCGTACTTCTTTTTAGATGTGTATATATAATTCTGGAAGAAGAGATCTTTGAACCCATGATTCACAAAGTGAATCCACTATATCCTCATGATAATGTAGATTCACGTCTTTAATTTTTTTTGCATTATTCATCGTCGGTGCATCCATTTTCTGGACCGCAGTGTAAAATTATAATTCTCTGTCCTTGATTGAGCCCCACTGAATTAGAACACTTTTTGTTATTATTCGTCCAACTTTTTTCATGGTGTCATGAGTATCATACCAGGTTTCATCCAAATAAACAATATTTCGTTTCATTTTTCGATATTCCGTGTTCTGTCTAATATAATTGTTTCTTGAAGAAATTATTTTAGTATTTTTCATTAATGTCTGTTTCTGCTACAAAATTATAGAAGATGTTTCTCCTATAATCTTGTAGCGGGTTCTCTGATCAATCTGGTTAAAAATATATTTCTGCAATTGCCTCTGATTTAGACAGTTCAGAACAAAATCATTCATCAACATGCTTCAGCATACGTTTGGCATCATCAGCAAGGTATTGAAAGGTCGCAAACCTTTTTCTACACAGCTGTGTAAATTTTCCAATAGATTAGAGATTTACACTAGCTCTTTAGCTGGAGAATTATTATCACACCGCAGACGCCAGATTTTAAAAATATTTTCGTAAAATGGTAAAAGAAGTTTAGAAAGAATACTGGTGTCACAACCGAACTCACTTGTAATTCACTATTTGAATTTAACTGAACGCTGCAGTAGTTATGGTTATATTCAAAATATTCTTGATTCGCAAAATCTAATTACGCTGGTTTAAAAGTAAAATATTATACCTACTTACCCAACTGTAAACTACTGGGCGGGCGAAACGAATTTTTCTCGGATAAATTACTTTATGGTTTCGGTCGCTCAGGCAAATGTTGTTATATATTACCCGAAGAATGCAGAAGTTTGCCGATACAAGATAACGAATTGTGATTTGTCATAATAGATGTTCCGATGTTTTTATTGGCTCTTGGTCCACATGGACTGATCAACAATTCGATGATAACTTCAACTAAGAATATTAAAACTTTGTATACGTCTCAGTCATTATTAATTAGAGTAGAGTAGAGTAGAGTAGAGTAGAGAGTAGAGTAAATTTTTATTTGCATAAATTTTTAAACATAATTGAGAAAATAACGTCACATTATTAATTTCAGATTAAAAAAATATATATTGACATCACACATTTAAAATATATTAATATTACAAATTAAATATGCTGATCAAGGAGAAGGATAGGCCAGGCACTCCGCCACAGTATATGGCTCAATGTCAACTAGGTGTTGAAAAACCTTTTTTTTTAAAGCTCTATAGTGTGTTTCCTGTTTAATGTCAGATGGTAGACTATTATAAAATTTAACACACGCATACAAAGGACTTTTCTCTGTTATAGACAATCTGTGAAGTGGCAAATTCAAAATAAGGCTTCTTGTATTATATTCATGATTCGGAAACAGGTGATAAAACAAAGAAAAATTTTTAAAAAGGAACATAATATATTCAAATATATAGATGGCTGAGAAAGTGAGTATATTGAGTGACTTGAATCGGCCTCTACAGGATTCTCCCGCCTTTAGTCCTAAGATCACCCGGACTGCATTTTTTTGGACTATAAAGACAGTTGAGCTATAAAGACATATCGCATAACAGAATAAAAGTTTGCATAATATACTGATAGTAATCTGTGAACTACTAAATAAGTTGTTTGTAGTAAAAAAGTTTTGTAGTCTGAAATATATTGCTTTTTCAAATATTTTTGAGAATGATGGAAGAAGGCTTACTGGTCTATAGTTCTCCATATTAGTAACATCACCTTTTTTATGAAGTGGCTTGACAATTGTCGGTTTTAAATTTTGAGGAAATTGACCTTGCCTGAAAGAAGCATTAACTATAAAAGAAAGAGGAAGAGAAATCTCTGATGAAACATATTTAATTAAGTTAGTTGATATTTCATCATAACCAGAGCTATGCTTGTTTTTTAAGTTATTTATTATCTGACTTATTTCTGACATGCAATGATTAGTTTGTTCGATATTAATTTGAAAATTTTTTACATGCTTTATTTTCTTTACAGCTTTTGGCGCTGCATTTGCCATAAATTGATTTATTTTGTTAGAAAGCACCTGAGGGTCACCCTCCAAACAGAAATTACCTTGATTTTTGGAATTACCCTTAATCTCTTTTACCAATTGCCAATTGACATTTCGCTATTTTTAATTCGTTCTTTATAACAATTTTTCCGAGATTGAGTGAGTAAAGAATTGTATTTGCGTTTTTCTGTCCTGTAAATATCTTTATAATCAACATTATTGGTAGACAGTGTAAACAAAACATCAAGCCTAGATTTACAACGTTTTATATCCTTATTTTTAAAGTATTTTTGTGATTTTTTTGCTGTATTTATCTCTTTGAGTGGAAAACATTCTATAAAATTTTTCTGAACTATACTTATAAAAGCATCCCACTGATTATCTACTTCTAATGTCTCAAAAACAGATACCCATTCTACATTACCTAACATGAATTTTTTCATGTTAGGTAATGTAGCGTTTTTTTATTATATTTGACTCAAATTCATTTAATTCAAATTTTACCTTTTGAGCAGTATGATCAGATGTATGAGGATTGAATACAAGTGAATCAAATATGTCAAGATTTGTAAAAGTATTATCTATACAGGATTTTTTGTTACCTTGTATGCGTGTATAGTCGTTGATGGAAGGTTTTATATCAA